TTTTCATCAATGGCTGCATGAATTGAATCATATTTTAATCTTGTCTGAGCTCTTAGCCATGTAACAAGACCCTGTCTGTAGTCCTAGGGATCTGGAGAAAACGCACAGGTGGGTTCCAGAAGGTTCAGGGAGGATCAAAGATTCCACTCTCTAAGGAGCCCTAGGTGGCGCTGATGCTGCTGTTTGCAGATCTCATTTTGAGTGGTGAGGTTGTGGGAGATCCTTGAAAAATCATATCCAAAATCCCCTAAATGGTACTACAATCGCCCCTTAAATTTAGTAAACTGGAATGTTTCTTGCCTTTGTAACGTAGATGGACTGAGTGCCGTGTGCGAAGTACTAAGTGCTGTGTGTTATACCGGGAATGGCAATTTTCCCCCAGATTTGACTCACGCGCTCTTTTCATTTGGATATCGCGTGCCAAAGCTCACCCTTCCTTCTCCCTAGCAAGTCTCGGGGAGCTGAATGCTAAAGGCTCTATTTAGCTACCTGGTGGCTCGTTAGAAAGGCCAAGTGTCCTCTGGAAATGACTTTGACTGTGTCTCAGCCTCCCCTGCTGCCAAGCACCACCGGGGACTTTGGGGAGGATGGCAAAGGGAGGCTGGGGGTGCCAGCACTCCCACCCACGGGCCCAGAACTAGTTCCTTTCTTAGGTTCTTTTACTGGGAACTTGGAACTACTCAATCATCTTGATGCATGAGGCCTGCTGTCATGCACTACAGCTATTTTCAAAAACTAAACTGTTTCTGGTGATCTTGTATGTGCCACAGAATGTAAAAGTAGTCATTTTTTTTTTAAAGTGCCTGAAAAAGTCCAGTAATTATTGTTCCAAACAAGCCTCACTTTCTCCTGTTTAGACTGAGTAACCTGGAAAAAAAAATGCCTTCTCAAATGAAAGGCCTTTTAGTGTGCTGTGTTTGCCTGGTTGGCTCTGGGTCACCTGGGGTTAGAGGGTCCCTGCTGCTACCCCCAGCAGAGTCATTGCTGCCTCCAAAGCAGCAGCAGCAGCCTCTCAGGGGAGAGCATGTCTATATTCACAGGGCTCTGCTTTTTATGGTTTGAGAGAGGTGGTGGGGAGTGGAGGTGGAATTTTTTTTTAATATCTAAACAGTAAATGAAGTATTACTGTAATCTCTTTACTGAGCTCATGGAAAAACTCAAGTCATTGAATGTTAGTTTTATAAACGAGGGAAGTGAGGTCCAGTGAGATTACTTGACTTGCCCCAGAGCCTCTATATCTTGCCAGAGGGAGAGCTGGAACTAGAAGGCCGGGCTCCCAGCCTCTTACGTAGCAGGACGTCTATCCTGGAAATCGTGATGCAGCCAGATTCCACTGGTCTCAGGGGAAACCTCTGAGAGTGAGCCTGAGCTCGGATCCCTCTGGGTGCTTCCCATCATCCTATGCCAAGAAGTCAGGTTGAAACAGAAATGTTTTGCTTTCACATAACGAAATAATTATCTCTATAGTTGCTCAAAGCTATTATGTCTTTTCGTTGACCTCTACTATTTGGAACAATTACTGGGGAGAGCTAATAATAATAATAGCAATGAACGTTTTATGGCCATTTTACTTGAATTGTATCATGTGATCTACCTTAGCATCCCATGAGGGAGATTTTATCATCTCTATGAGGATAAATTACTAGCTCAGGGCCACACAGCTAGTAAGTAGCCGGGCTGGTATTTGAACCCAGGTCACCTGCCTCCAGAGCCTGTACTCAACCTTTGCTATGCCAACGCCATTGCTCAGGCGAGGTTGGCATCGACTTAGTGGACACTGCCTGGCGGATCCAAGCTATACATCTAATCTACCAAGCAAAGTCGCCAAAGGCTGCTTCCTTCCCTCTGGGTGCGTACCCTTCCCAGAAACTTTCTTTCATTTCTTACCACTGCAATTTTACAAAGGGGTTATTGGGACTGCAGCTCATACTCAGATGCCAATCCGTAGGGGCCACTATCGTTTGGACCTTCACCAGCCAAGCCAGCCTTCCCAGCTCCTGATCTTAGCGTCCATCCACCTTGACCCACTGAGTGGGCTCATTGCCAGGGATGCCTCTCTCTTTGCAGGGTTACGGGCTGCATACACTGAGCAGACAAGAGTGGTGTTTATGTGGAAATTCCCAGTTCTTCCTACTATGTTCTCTGGATTTTCTCCCTTGAGGCTCCAGGAAAAAAAATGATAATAAACATCACAAAGAGGAAAATGATTCATGGACGAAGTGGAGCTAGCTCCTGGGAGCCCAAACCCAGAACTCATCCAGCGCGAGCAGCATTCTCCGCTCCCAAATGATTGTTTTGGGGAAAATCCACTTATTCCGGACCAAAGTCTATGCTCATCAGGCCTCACCGGTGAGCGGTATGAGCCACATCTGGACAGAGACAGGACAAAGGAGACATTTTCCCCAAGGAGCAGAGGTCCCCAGCACTGGGACTGGCCCCCACACATAGCCAGGGGAGTAGATCCCGCCTCTCCCTTCTGGGGAGATGGGGTAGGGGAGGTGGCAGGGAGGCCATCAGGGAAGGACCTGGCTCTCCCCAAGATCAAAGCCACCCTGGAACATCCCCTTGTCATCAATGCAAAAGATACAGGCTCGGATTAAAATGCTCAGGAGACTTTCTATGGCCTTGTAGTTTTTGGTTTCCTGAGTGCCAACCATATGCTGGGACCCACTCGCTGGTACAGTCCAGCTTGCACTCTCTGCCCCACCTGGCGATGATGATGGCTCTCTGGAATTCTCCTCTCCTGTGGCCTCTCTGGATCTCCCTGGGCCTCTTTGTCCTTTCCTGGCTCCTTCTCAGCCTGCCCCTCAACCACTCCCACCTCTCCAGGTGGCTGTCCCTAGGTTCTGGCCACCCTCTCCTTTTCTTCCCCTTCCTCCTCCTCCTCCTCTCTTCCAACACATGCTCCTGAGGGATCTGATCTAATCCCTGGCTTTAGCTCCCTCCCGTCCATCTCGTCCTGGAAATGCGGGTGGCTTGCCATGCGCAGCGTGAACACAGGTGGAGTCACTCTCCTGGCACATCCAAATGTGCACCTTCACCAGGGTGCCCCATGCAGGCATGGGGTCCTTCCAGCTATGAGCCTCGAGGTTACCTCTGACTCCTCCCTCTCCCTGGCCCTCCCTGCCCCAGGGATTTCCAAGTCTAGTCAATGCTCCCACTAAAACCTCCCTTACCCCGTCCCCTCCTCTCCACTCACTCCACCATTCCCCGCCAGCCTTCCATAGCTTGCAGCCCTCGGTGCCGAGCCCTCCTCCAGCGCCCAAGCTGCTTTGCTCCGTGCCTCTCCTTGCTCCTGTCCCCTCACTCTCATTATCCCTCCCTCCCAAGGCTTTGACCCCTCCGTCCCACCCTCTTTCTATCAGCGTTCAACGTCTCCAAGCCTCTCTTGACTTTGTCTTTCCGTGGCTTCCATCATCCTAACTCCCCCCTTCCCTTCTCAGATAAGCTTCTGGACAGGACTTCTACAAGCTGCTCCTCTCTCCATCAACCACCATAGCCTGGCTTGGGCCATCCTTCTCTCCACAGCCAAGTCCCCAGTGCCCTCTCTCTTTCCAGCACAGCAGACGGTACGTGGATCTGTCCTGTGCGCGGTGTTCCTCGCTGTCAGCAGCGCCCTCCTCCCCTCCCGCACTACAGTCCCACACTCCCCACTTCCTCCTGCTCTTCTGTGGCTGCAGAATGACTCCAGGTGTGAATCTCCTTTCTGGATCCCTTGCTCAAGCCAGCTTAGATCTCATGGGATCTCATGGGATGCTCCACCTGGATGAATCTCAGACTCGGTGTGTCTGAAACCACTTGTCCGGTCCCTGCAAGCCTGTACCCCTCTGTGTCCCTCATTCTAAAAACAGCACCACCCTGCCACCACGCCCATGCCACAGACACCTCCATCATCCCTGACTCTCCCTTCTCCCCCACTCTGCACAGCCTCTGAGTTCTAGCGAGCGCATTGCCTCCTAGGGGCCCTTCAAATTTGCCCACCGCTCTCCATCTCTGCCTCTACCACCATGATTCAAACCCTCACACCGTCCCTTCCTGATCACCTGATCTTCCTGCCTCCTTAAGCCTGCTCATGACACTGACCATGCCATCTCTAGGACTCTTAGCTGGGGCCTGGCCCTGCTACACTCTACCCCTCCTCGTCCGCCCTTGACTCCAACTCCCCATGCTTCAGACAACGGGGCAACTCGAGTCCCTGAGCGCATGCCTCATCTCGCCTTGCTGACTTCTTCTCATCCTTCAGGCCTAAGAGCAGGTGTCCCCTCCTGTCGGGGCAGGTGCCCCTCTCCATGGCACATTGTTGGATGGTCTGTGGATCTCCCTGACTGTGAGCTTTTTCAGAAAGGGCCTGAGTCTCGTCCACTCTTCCATCTTTGTGTCCTCAGGGCTAGCAGTGCCAGGTAACGGGTGGGTGATTAATAGGTGCTTGGGTGAGTACTACCGCCCTACCTACGGTGTGACTAGCTGTCTGCTCGCTCTGAGCTCCTCCAGGGCAGGGATCTTGCCTTTTCCATCTCTTTGCGGCGTCTACCTGGCAGGTGGCCTGCGGAGACGTTTACCGAAGGAGGAACGAGTGAGCACCAAGGCGAGGACCCCACCCTTCCCCCGTCTCCAAGAGCAGCCTAGAGCAAAACCTGGCCCACATTTTCGGGCTTCTGTCACTCACCAGATTTACTCCTCATCTATCTTTCAATGAGCACGACTGGTGGTGGGGGCGCTTGGGTGGGGGGACAAGTCCGCTGGGCCAGGTGTCCCGGGGGGATGGCACCGCCTCCCCATCTCAGGCGGGCTCAGGGCGCGCAGGACCCGAGCAGGGAGCGAAGTCGGAGGCGAGCGTCAGAGGCAGCTGCGCCTGCCCCGCACGCCACGCGGAGGGACCCGCGCCTGCCCGGGCGCCGGCGAGGGAGGGGAAGGCGGGCGGGAGGCGAGCGCGGCGCGGGCGGCGGGACGGGGCTGGGAGGCGCCAGGGGCCGCTCCCGCCCTCGCCGCTCCCCCGCCCTTACTTAACGTGGCCGGCGGCCGAGGCGCCCGCACTTCCCGAGCCTCGCCGCCGCCGACCCGCTCCATGGCGCTCCTCGTGCGGCTGCTGGCTGTCGCCCTGGCGCTGGCCCTGGGCCCCGCCGCGACCCTGGCGGGCCCCGCCAAGTCGCCCTACCAGCTGGTGCTGCAGCACAGCCGGCTCCGGGGCCGCCAGCACGGGTAAGCCGAGCCGCCCCGCCGGGACGGCCGAGGGCTCGCCACGGGGGGCTTCCAAGCGGGCTGGGGGCGCAGGGGACAAAGATCGAAGGAAAAGCAGGCAGCGTGCGGCTCCCTCCGAGACCAGCCCTGCACGCCGCGGAGGGAGGGAGGCGGGGACCCTGGAGGGAAAGCCAGCGGGGCGCTTTGTAGAGGAGGAAAATGGGGGAGCTGACCAGCGACCCGATTCAGGCCAAGAGCCTGGGACCGACCGGCGCTTTCAGCCTCTCCTCCCAGCCCACAGGAGGGAGGAGGAGTTGGCAGCTGTCTGCCCAGAGTCACCGTGGGAGGGTGCCCAGGGCAAGGTGGAAGCCCACCCAGCAGTTCGCAGCCAGGTCCCTGGCCAGCCAGCGACTTCAGACAGCGACTTCAGCCTGGGGCCACACAAGGTAGCAGCATCCAAGGTGCCCCAGGTCCCTGTGCACCTGGCCATGCCCTGCATCCACACTACCCAGACACAGCAAAGGCAGTGTGGCACCTCCTCCCCTGCCAGTGAAAAGCAGGAGAATTCACTGGGCCTCACACACATTGTACAGATGGGGAAACTGAGTCCTGGGAGGTCGGGCCACTTTCCTGCAGTATGCACTGGAGCCAGAATTGGAGTCTTTCTTAAAGCAATAGCTGAGTTTGTAAATATGGGACACGATCATTCCAAGTATTCCTTTGAGACACCAAAGATGGGTTGACTCTAAGAGACAACCCAGGCCAATGGTGTCACCTGGTGAAGACCCTAGCACAGACCCAGGCGGAGGTGGGCAAGATTTCTACACCCAGAACCAGGCCACGCCTGCTTCGCACACAGCCAGGCTTTGCGCAGCTTCCAGCCGACCCGCACCTTCTTTTTCACAACTAGATAAAACCGTATGTGAGTTAAGTCATGTTACAGCTCCTCAGAGGAAGGCCAGGTGCCTCTGGGGTCTGGCATTCACACCCCCAGGCCTTGCCCGCACCTCCAAAGGACTGGACCCGTCTGTACTCTCATAAAAACTCATTGTGGGGGTGACAGAGTTGACTTCACGGCCCCGACAAAGCCCTGGCCCTCCACGCCCAGGAGTGCTCTGGGTGTGGGCACAGGCTGCCTCTCCTGGGGAGCAGTCGCCCTTGTTTGCTCCGCCTGCGGTTTTTGTGGTCTAACTTGGCCTTTCAGGTGTTTAGGGCTTCAGGGAGGAGGGGCTGCGGGGAACAAGTCAGGCACCCTGCAGAGCGAGATCAAGCCAGGCTGGGCACCAGCTGCCGGGATACCCTCCTGGAACAAGGAGAGCACAGGCAGATCCTGGGGTCACTGGGGAAGCGGGAGAACCCCTCTGACTTAGGCTGTGTGCACCAGAAGGCGAGGGGCAGGTGGGAAAGACGAGGGGGATAGGCCTCAAAGTCAAGATGTGAGCCACCCACATTTTTACTGTCACTGTCCACCCCATCCTTGGTCCCTCTGCCTCTCTGGCAAATGAACCATGTCATGTTGGGGGCCACAATCTGCCTGGGAGGTTTCTCTTTCTTCTGTTTCTTATCCACTAAATCAGGGGAAGATCCCTATAGCATGCCCTGTGACACTGTCACCCGTAAGGGCAGCTCTGGGCAGAGCCACAGTGAAGGGTCCCCCGAGGTATAGAGCGCCTTTCCACCAAGAACTGTCTTTTTAGCAAACCTCTCCTCCCTTCAGAGCCCAGAAGAGACGCTGACCAGCTGGAAAGTAGGGCTTGTTTTTTTCAAATGCAGATGCTCTTCATTATGAGTTTCAGATATTAGACCAACTTCCCCACCATACCCTGCAGGCTGATCCTCTCGATTAACTTCTCGCAGTGCAGTTGGAAAGGCCTAGAGTAATTTGTGGTGGGTGGAATGATCTGAGAAGTCACAGGAGTATCCCCCCACCAGTAAAATCTGGACGCCTGGACACAGGAACCATGACAAAGTGGTTGCAGGCACAGTGGCACTAACTCTGAACTAACTGTCCCTGAAAATACCGCAGGGCTGCCTGGCCTTGCACACATGGGCGTGGCCTCCTGTGCAAATGGATAACCTTGTTGGAGCTCCAGCCCTTCATTCAAAGCGAGACTGTCTTTGCTGTTTTAAGGAAATACCGTGTGCTTCCAGGTGTGGTGGAGAAATGCTGTGTCTCGTTGGTGTGTAGCGCTCTGGCCCCATCACCACTTTTACTTTCATCTTCACCGCGATACAGTCAGGTCTGTTGTTCATGTTCCCATTTTACAGATGGTGAAACATCAGCTTAGTGATTTAGTCCAAACACAGAAAGCTGTCGAGAGACAGTTATTGTGACATGGTCTCTTGATTGTGTTGCTATAGGGAAGGGGAAAAATATTACTGAACAAGAAGTAAAAATGTGATCGCATTTCCAAATATCAACAACTAAAGACTGGACCGAATTCCCTGAAGCACTTCATTTTTAAATCCAAGTTGAACAGCAACACTGTTATGCTTGAGGCAGAGAGCCCAGAAATGGCTTGCTCATTTCGATTAAGGTTCAGCATACATCTCCTATGTACACAGCCCACCCACACCTCCCTGATGTGAGAGGGGGAGGGTCCCAGCCACCCCCAGCCTCTGCTCCGGTTGCAAGGGCGGCAGCAGTGAAAACACTCTGCAGAGGAATGTTGGAGCCACATTCGCAAGAGACTCGCTGAAGAGTCGCCAAACGCCTACGGAAAGTTGCAGGGAATTCATCGACAGTAATTGTTTCCTGCTTGGGCAGATAGAAGAACTTCTGGGATTGTACAACAATAAATAAAACCTAGGGCTGGAGGATGGCCAGCAGGGACTCCTCGGGGTTATTTGGGGACTGTCTAACCTGTGAATCCTAGGCAAAAACAGAGAAGTCAGGTGTTTAGAAATCTCAGGGCTGCAGTCATTGGATCAGACCCGGCCAGGACTAGGGAGGCAGAGACCCTCCCTCTGCTGGCCCTGGGTCTCCTCTCCAGAGTTCCCTCTCTTGCCCCCAGGTTCTTGCGTTGATTCACTAATGCCCATGCACCTCCTCGGCCTACTCCCCTTTGCCTATTGCAAACAAAACCGGACAAGAGGTGGCAGTCACATGATGGAAGAGATGGGGCAGAGAGGAAAGGGTGGGAATGAATTCCCAGCCAGTAGCCTGACTGCAGCTAAGTGGTGGGCACGGTGGTTGCAGCTCTCACTGTAAAATCAGTGTGATGCGCTGCACGTCAAATGAGGTCTGTGGGTCACATTTTTAATGAGACAGGAGAATGGACCTTAAAAGAACACTCCGCCCTTTGGATGATACCTGAAGTTCTCCAAGGCCTCAGTTCCTGTTTTCTTGGCTTTCCCCTGACCTGTGATTCGGTCAGATGAGCTGCCTGCCTCCCACTCGGGAAGCCTGACCCTCCCGACTGTCACCACACAGCCACAGCAGTCTCCTTTCCCCAGGGGCTCCCAGGGAAGGTCCTGCCGTCCCCTGGCCCGAGCACGGTTCCAGTCAGGACTCGGTATGCTAAGGCTCTGGGAAAGGCTTCTCGGTAGAACCCAGGACATTTGCACTCTGCTCTTCCGCAGAGTTCCTGAGGATCCCTGTGATCTGGGTGGTTGGGGGAACGGTATTTTCAACGAGTTCCTCCCAGCCTCCTCCTGTATCCTGACTGGCTGGCAGGCCCCGTCTAGAATGTAAAAGACCGAATGAGACAGAACACTTGCTCTCGATGTTCTTTTGAGTGTAGCTGAAAAGAAGAGCCATCCACCCCGCCACACCGGTGACGGGATTCTGTTTGGTATCCAGCATCAGACGAGGACTGAGTCCCAGGTCAGAGGGTGCAGAGAAGCATGTCACCTGGGACATTGGAAGAAAGCTGTCTGGGGGAGGTGGGACTTGAGTGGGGGTCTAAGTGACAAACATGTGGGAATTAATGGGAGATTGTCCCATTTCCTGGTCCTGACAGCAGCCAGGCATGGCCTCTAGTTACAAGAAAGACACTCGTTACGGTTGCCTGGGGGAGCCAGGGGGCTGCTCTAGGGATGCGGAGTATGTGTGTATATAGAGCTGCCCAGAAATGCTTTTATTTACACTTCCCAATTGCCCGTGTCAAAAACAATACTTACGCAACACTACACCAATGTGTAAGAGAGACTTGAACAATTTTTAATTTGAGGGCAAGCTTTCATGGGGACCAATGGGAATCTAAGTAGATAGGCCTAAAGCCAGCCCCTGGTCCCAAGACCGAAATGGCTGTCTCTCCTCCAGTTCTAGGACATTCTGATGGCCCAGGAAGGCCAACCTGATGGGAAAGATATCAAGGTGGAGTGGACGTGCTAACCATTTTGCTAACGCTGCTGCTTTTGTTTTTAGCCCGAACGTGTGCGCTGTGCAGAAGCTCATTGGCACCAACAAAAAGTACTTCACCAACTGCAAGCAGTGGTACCAGAGGAAGATCTGCGGCAAATCGACGTGAGTATCTGTAACCACTCTGGACCACCAGCCGCCAAGGAGGCCCAGTGGGTGCATGCCGGCTGCAGGCGGCCCCAGGCCTGGGCGCACCTTCTGCAAGGTCAGGCTGCCTAAAGAGCCACGAAGGTGCATGTGCAAACGCGTCGGCACCATGTGCTGGGGAGTGGCATTTTTAGGAAACTAGGCCAATTTTGTTTTGCATTTTTAAAGCTGCTGACAAGACTTGGATATGTTTTTGGTTGGTTTGGGATTGCAAGAAGCATGAAACATTGGTGGGGGGTGGGGTTCTCAATCATCACAAAATGATACAGATATTCAGTGGAGAAACCACCTACATGTGACTCTGGAAAAGAGAGCCCGCCGGTGAAGCTATGCTAAAGAACCACCCCTGCTCTGTAGTCCTAAGGCAAACACCCCAAAAAGTCCTCGAGTGCCTAGACATACGCACATTAGGAGACAGCATAGCATATTAAGAACACTGGCTCAAACCCTGGCTCTACCACTTACCTGGGCAAGGTGCTTCATCTTTAGAACCTTCCGTTGCTTTACCTCTAAAGTGGGAATACCAAAGGACCTACCTTATGGGGTTGTTATGAGGAATATGGTGCCTGGCATTTAGTCAGTGCCTAGTAAATGCTAGCCGCTATTATTATTACCCCAGAATTTGCAAATCTAGACCACACACGCAGAAGTCAGAGTGGCAACGGGGTGTGGAACAGTGTGGTTACGACAGGCTTGCTGGTGCCTCTGTCAGTCAGGAGGGAGCAGCCTTGACTCCAACTGCCAGCCGCCTGGTGGAAACAGGGTGGCATCATGTTCTAACAGATCCTGCAGAAACTTGATCTGTTTTAGCACTAACTGTTGACAGATCTCAAAGCTGGCTTTCCCCTACCGATAGGAAGATGTGCTCTGGGAGACCTCCTGAGCCACTGGGGAGGGTCTGACCTTCCTCTTGTCTGCATAATAGGAGGATTAAGACACTCTAAGCCACTATCTTGAACACTTTCCAATGTCAGGGATTTTTAAGTTTATTGCTTGTGACATTGCTTTTGAGCAGACATCTCCTCCAATTTAATAACCAACGGAAAGCAGGGAAAATGCTCTTTCCTTAAAATGTACGTGGAACTAAATATCCCAATGTGCGACCCTGATTATGTTAGGCAGTTATCAATCCTAGTTGTCAATCCCTGGGAGCCTGACCAGGGCAGGTCCGTGGCAGCCGGCTGCCCAGCCTTTAAGCTAGAGTTGAGTGAGCTAGGACTCACCGCCCGGTTTCGGTGAACAGATGCCCAGCTACAATGCTTGCTGCCATGAGCAAAAAGATTATGCAAATTCCTCTTCCACCCATCCTCCCATTACATCCAAGTTAAAAAAAAGACAGAAAAAGAAATACCTTTAGTGCTGATGGATATTTTTCATGTGCATATATTATTTCCTCAAACACACAGTTAAGTAATCGCTTAATTAAACATAAAGCCAGGTCCCACATAACTGTTCTTGGACCAGGAAGACACCCAAAGCACTGGAGCCAAGCAAACAGCTCTTCCACATCTCAGCGCCTTCAGTTTCAAAGAGCACCACCTTAGGCCGGGCGCGGTGGCTCACGCCTGTAATCCTAGCTCTCTGGGAGGCCGAGGCGGGTGGATTGTTTGAGCTCAGAAGTTCGAAACCAGCCTGAGCAAGAGCGAGACCCCGTCTCTACTAAAAATAGAAAGAAATTAATTGGACAACTAAAACTATATAGAAAAATTAGCCGGGCATGGTGGCGCATGCCTGTAGTCCCAGCTACTCAGGAGGCTGAGGCAGAAGGATCACTTGAGCCCAGGAGTTTGAGGTTGCTGTGAGCTAGGCTGACGCCACGGCACTCTAGCCCGGACAACACAGTGAGACTCTGTCTCAAAAAAAAAAAACAAAAAAACAAAGAGCACCACCTCTTTGTGAGTTCAGATTTCTCTAAAAATGGGGCCCACTTGTGATGGCAAGCTGGACACAGGGTGGCACCAGCCGTGCTCTTTCAGGTGCCCCTGTGTTGGGGCACTTGCCCGCCTAGTTGACAGTAGCTGGATCACATTCCCCAGCAGTTCCCAGGCTTACCCTGTGGCTGGTGATGAGTCGCCGTAGCTGTCAGCTCTTGCTGCCTGCCTCTTCCTCCATGCGTGCTCCAGCAACAGGCACCAGCCACGGAGCTGCGTGTTGGCACACCGCGCCAAGGCGTCCCCGCTAACGCAGGCGTGGCTTTGAGAGTTCAATGACATGATGGCGCAGCGCCCTCCCTCGGGTGACCTCAGGGGCCAGGCACCAGGGAAGGGAAGAAACGTACAGGTGGGGTGTGGGTTTCTAACACATAAGTGAGGTTTAGAGCAGCCTCAGGCAAAGCCCAGTGTCCCAGCCCAGCTCTTGGCCTGGTCTTACAAAGCCAGAGAGAGATGATACTCGCATTCAACTCTCAGATGTGGCCGCTGCTTTGGCCACATTCAAAAAGAGGAAATGAAGATAGAAAAACATGAGTTGATATAAAACTTCATGATCCAGGACAAGAGAGGCTCTTCCTGGAACATCACATGCAGTACCAGGAAGGTGGAGCTGACTTGGAAAAGTCCAGAAACTCAGAGAGGGGAAGAGGAAGAGGTTGAACCCATCTCCGTTCTCTCAGAGAGCTGAGTAAGAGCCGCTTGGCAGGGCTCCTGGGGACCCGGGACTGAGACCAGTGAGGGTGCTGCTGCCCGACCACCATGTGGCCGGAGCTAAGTGCCACGGGTGGGCAGGTGGGAAGGGGAGAGGGCTCAGGTGCTGGCTGGAGTTGACACCATCCTGGGGAAAGTGGATCCCAAATGCATCTAGCTGGGTGAGGACCAGACTGGGAAATGGGGCGTGGTTGCAATTAGAGCAAAAGAATTGTCCCAGCGTGGGGCCAACATGGGCGGGGGGATTTTCTCAGCAAGACTCCAGAGAAGAGGCCTGAGCAGAAGCCAGAGTTGGGATGAAAGGGAGCAAAGTGTCCTCAATGACAGGGGCAGCACAGGTCATCAGGGGCGCAAGATAGAGGAAAGCAGACTAGGGGCAGCGAGCACAGAGGTGGTGTGAGGCCACAGAGTCACAGGGACGGGCCTAGTGAGATAGGAGCCTGGAGCCACCCGTGTGCTGCTGCGGGGCCCTGGACTGTGTCTCCCGAAGCGGGGGCCTGGCCACACGCGGCACTGCTGTCCTCAGGTGGAGCCACAGTGTCTCCAGACAACAGCTTTCCCGCACTTACAGAGAGCGCAGGACCCTGGTGTTATGTATCAAGCCTGACATACGGATTTTATTACGGGAAGTGGTTACCAGTGGGACCCTATTTAGTGGCTTGAGTGAATTTTATTACTTGGAAATTCACTTTAGCATTTCTTTCGGATCCTAAAGCTCACCAGATTGATACGATGGCTAATCAGACAAAGAAGGTTGTGGGGGGCGGACGGCATCTCCCCCGTGATTTCAGGCCCTGGTTTGATTAGCAGCCATAAAATTTTTATATGTCGCACCTTGAGCAAAGGTGCAGGAAATTGTGGTCAGGAAGCCTGGCTGCCTCTTGACAGGCCTCCTCTGTGCGAGCCCCAGGGAGAGGAGGCCTATTTAACAGCCAAGTCTGAGCTGACATCACGGGGCTAGAACAGTCATAGCAGGAGCACAGACATCACAAACGTGGCACAGGGAAGGCCAGCGCGGGAGCTAGCGGGTAGGGGCGGCAGCTCTCCATCCCAAAGTCTTGCAATCGTTTCATGAGCAACACATTTCATAAGTGCAAAAGCCACTCTCTGAAGCCAAGATGAGCTGAAAGGACACTCCCGCTTCTCTAGTAGCAAGCCCCGCTTTGCCCAGGGGCTGAAATGCTAGTACTTCTCCAGCGCTACAATAAAGCATACAGATTCAACTATACCGGAGCCAGCTGGTACGTGGTCGAGCTTTGCCATCAGCTGGCAGGGCTAATTCCAGGAGTTGTCATTCTGGGCAGGGCACCCAGAGACATCTGACATGACGCTGAGGAAGAACCACCCTTTCCGCCCCGTTCTCATATCCCACAACCTTGGTCCCAAGGGGAAAAAGAAGAAGATAGTGAGAAGCCACCTAGGCTGTCCCCAGACCCACTCCAGCACCTCCTTCCTTGTCTCCTATTCCCTGTGCCGCCAGCTGGGTAATTTGTTCCAAGATAGTGGGGACATAACCAAACACCAGACATCTATCTTCCTGAAGGTTCCATCCCATTCTATAAACTAAAAGGCTGCTCAGCTGACGTGGAGTTTTGTTCTGTTGAGCACTTACGTGAACCCATGTACTGCCTGGGGTAAGGTCCTGTGGTAGGCAGGAAACCGACCTCCCAAAGAGGTCCACATTCTAATCCCCAAACCTGTAAATATGTTTCCTTCCATGGAAAAGGGACTTTGCAGATATGATTAAGTGAAGGATTTTGGGAGGGGATTATCCCGGATTATCTGCTGAGTCCAGTGTAATCATAAGAGGCCACGTAAGAGGGAGGCCGCAGGGTCAGAGTCAGAGGAGACTGTTGATGAAAGCTGGAGTTGGAGAGATGTGACCGCAAGCCAAGGAATGCAGGCACCACTAGGCACTGCAAAAAGGAAGGAATATAGTCTCCCCGCACAGCCTCTGTAAGGAACGTAGCCTTTGATTTTAGCCCCATAAGGCCAATGTCTGACCCTAACCTCCAGAATTGTAAAATAATAAATTTGTATTGTTTTAAGCCACTAAATTTGTTACAACAAGCAGTGGGAAACTAACACAGGCCCTGTCTATTGAGTTCTATGGATGTGTTATGGGGAGTTTATTTGCTACAGTGTGATTTGATCAGTGGTCTGATGTAAGACGTTGCTTTCAATGACGTTATTAGCCTAGCTGCCATTTTAAAGTTTATACCTGGAGGGTTTTGTTTGTTTGTTTGTTTTCTGTTTGTTTTTGTTTGTTTTGTTGTTTTTAAAATGGGGTCTTGCTCTGTTGCCTGGGCTAGAGTT